TTCTCAAACCAAGAACTTCTTTAAACTGATGAAATCACGGGTCCAAATTCTTCTCCCCTTTTGCCACAAAAAGGAAAGAAGGTGACACAGTTTTGCCCACAACGAGATTACAGTTTAACGGAGAAAAGGACAAGTATATAATTCAATCAACATTTATTAAGCACCTACTATGTGCCAGGCACTGTTCTAAGCCCTGGGGATATAAAAAGAGGCTAAAGATAGTGACTGCCCACAAGGAGTTTGCAATCTAGAAAGAGCAGTGGTTAGTTGGTTATTGTGCTTTCTGGATGAGAATCAACATGATATCACTGTTTTGGAGTCAAGGCAGAGTGTGTCCAACTGGTCAGACCAGTATGAGCTTGGAAGGCTCTACCACAGGTCAGACACAAATAGTCCATATGAACATTTGATCTAACTGGGATAGCATGAGAAAATGAAATAGGGACAAATGCAAAGTGCTAGAAGAAGTTTGAGAAAGAAAGAGAGGTGACTTTCACAGAAAGATTATAAAAAGTCAGAGAAAGGAAGGGAGGGAGAGAGAATTTATTAATTGCCTACCATGTGTCAGATCCTTTGCTAAGTACTTTACAAATGTCTTATTTGATTCTCACAACAACCCTGGGAGGTGGGTGCTGTTATTCTCCCTTTTACAGTTAAGGAAACTGAGACAGAAATTGAGTGCCTTGTGGTTTAGTTGTGTTTGACTCTTTGTGACCCTATTTGGGGTTTTCTTGGGGAAGATAGTAGAATGGGTCGTCCTTTACTACTCTAGCTCATTTTACAGATGAGGAAACTGAGGCAAATAGAGCTAAGTGATTTGCCTAAGGTCACACAGCTACTAAGTGTCTCTGGTCACATAGCCAGCAAGTGATATGCCCAGGGACAAACAGTAAGTATCTGAGACTGGATTGAAACTCAGGTCTTCCCGATTCAGACTCAGGGCTCTATCCATTGTACCACCTAACTGCCTCTCTGAGGGAGACGTTAAAAAATCATCTGATCCTGAGAAGTTAAGGTCATACAGCCAAGACTTTCTGCATTTCTGTAACTTTTAGTTATTTCTTCCCAATTCCTGCCTGATTGGGCTTGAGTGAACACAGAAAACTTATATGTCACCACCATGGTTCTACTCACTTGACATGACTGAACTATGGCCATACCCAGAATTAGAAACTGAATCTATGAAGAAAAAAAAGGCATTAGAGCCACAAGTCAGCTTCCTTCCCTTGGGGCAGGAGGAAGGAATCATAGGATTGAGAACCGGCCGGTACCCAGAGGTGATCTGGTCCAGCCCTCTCATTATATAGATGAGCAAACTGAGACCTGGGTTGGTAAGGAGCAGAGTTAAGATCTGAACCCAAGTAAATCCACTGTTGTTCCCACTGTACCAGACCCTCCTATTCCCCAGGATGAATAGGTCTCCTGACCTCTTTCTTTCCCCACCCCTACCCAATCCTATTTAAGATTTCACACCATGCTTCAATTTACGGACACCAAAGGGCCAGTGTTTTTTTGCCATACCCTCACCATCTTGTTCCCTGCACTGATAAGGTTGCAGTCAATCCTTAAAGGTGAAGCAGGTGTCTTGGCTGATATCAATGCAATTTATTAGAAATGCCAGGAGGGAGGGACAGAAAGCGAGGGTAGCATCAGATTCCTGCCACTGCCTTCCTGCTGCAGTGACAGAGTAGAAAATAGAAACTGAATCATATTAATGATTCTCATCAGGAGAGTTGAGAGCAAGGTCAGGTCACCGAGTTTGAGCAGGGAGAGGAGCAGCCATGCATTGAGACAGTCAGCTTCTCTGGGAGCTCGTAGTGGGTACCCGAACCCTTGGGGAAAGCCAGGCCACAGGACAGACAGACAGTGAAGGAGGCAAACATGGAAAAAATGTAGTCACACCATTTGGTCCGGCTCTATGATTTCTTACCAAGCTCAGTGTGGAAATCGATAGCAGAGAGGCAATCTATCTCTAATTTGGGGCAGCTAGCTGGCGAAGTGGATAAAATGCTGGGCCTGGAGTCAGGAAGACTCATCTTCTTGACTTCAAATCCAGCCTCAGACTCTTACTAGCTATGTGACCCTGGGCAAGTCACTTAATCTTGTCTGCCTCAGTTTCCTCATCTGCAAAATGAGCTGGAGAAGGAAATGGCAAACCACTCCAGTGTCTTTGCCAAGAAAACCCCAAAATAGAGTCATGAAGAGTCAGCCGTGACTGAAATAACTGAACAACAACAAATCTCTAACTTCCAGTGGTAGAGCTTCCTGAGGCATTGAGAGATTAAATGACTTCCCCAGAATCACACAGTTGTAAGTTATCAAGCTTTCAAGTGCTTACTTTGTGTCAGCCTGGGATTTGGCCACCTGACCCCGACTCTGTCTTCCCTCCCAGTAAGGACGATCTGGATTTGAATCCTACCTTAGCCATTTACTAGCTCTGTGATCCTGGGCAAGTGCCTTAACCTCTCTGAGTCTCAATTTCCTCATATATAAAATAAGGTACCTCTAAGGTCCCTACCAGTTCAAAATCGATGACCCTATAAGAGTACACCAACCTTCTGAACACCATGTATGGTTTAAATCCATCTAGAGCAGTTCTGGGCATCTACTTATTGAACTGGGAAACTGTTACTCCTCTCATTTCCACCATATTTTCATCTTCTTCCTCTCTAACAAGTTGTCTTTTCTCTTCATGCTCCCATCACCATTGCCCTTCCTCCACAAGGAGAATCATTCCCTCTATTCGAACTGACTTTTGGACCGCTTCCTTCATTCAATTTCCCAGTGTTGACTCCGTGTCTTCACCCACACCATTTCTACCTCTGCCTACAAAAACCTTCCTTTCTCCCCTCACCCTCAACTTTCAGAGGCATCAAGGGGACTCATTCCCCTCATTCAGGGCCCTCTTGAGATCCTTCCTGCCATCTTCCCTGATGAGGAGCAGAAATATCTCCCCATCACAGCACAAGGCATGCCACGTTTGTTAGCTCCACCCAGCCGGTCACATACCCACCAAACACTCATACAAAATACCCAAGCCTCACTCGCATTCTCGCATTCTGCCGGAGTGCCTGGCAAAAGCTGAGTGCCCTGTAAATGAACCCGTTTGGCTGGGAAGGTACCCAGCTGAAGATGCTCCTTCTGCAACATCCTGGCCAAAGGGTCACCCAGGTTCAGCTTAAAAACACCTAACCGCCACCACCATGGGAAAGAAATCTCACACACCTCCCCTTCCTCTAGACTACCCATTCTATCCTTGGATGTTGCTAATTGCTAGGAAGCTTCGCTTTATCTGTTGAACCTAAATCTGCCTTATATTGAAACAAATCAGTTCTTCCCTCTAAGCCCAAGCAGATAAATCTAATCCCTGTTTCACAAGATAGCCCTTCAAATACGGAAAGACAGTGCCCTCATTCCCTGCCATGCCATTAGGAACACTCCTTTGATGTCTTTTATTATGATATAGTGAGTCCCCTGGATCCTCTCTACCTTATTAGCCCCAGTATAAATGGGAAGAGCCCTTTGCCTATCAATCAATAGATAAAAGTTTAATTCTCTGCTATATATAAGACAACTGCTGTCTTTGATCCGTGCCCTCAAGGAGCTTTCTATCTGTTGGAGAAGTAAGTGCAACTTTCAAAACAAAGCAGTGATCTAAGCACTATATTAGAAAGATTGCAGTGTCCTATGGCAGTCAGGGAGGACTTGTTGGAGGAAGGGCCTGAGTCATCTTAGACCTTGGCCATGAGCTACAGAGTAGTATATGAGATGCCATGGAACTCCAGACATTTGTAGGTATCCCTGGGGAGGGTGATTCCAAGCCCAATTCCTCTTGGTTCAGGAAGTCCTCTCATGTTTGATTAAACATGATAAAATTTGATAAAAACATTTGATAAAATCAGCAGGCATTTATTGAGTGTCTACTGTATACCAGGTACTGTACTAGGCTGTGGGGATAAAAGACAGACATGAAACAGTTCTGGCCTCCTAGAAGCTTGTAAGTTAATATGGAGGGCAGCCGTTTTCTCAGGGAGGAGTCACTGAGCCAGGACTGCTGCC